GTTGTCCCGTTTAATACAACCAGCAATCGAGCAAGCAAGATAGTTCATGCNCACTATAAGAGCCTTCAAGAGAAATTCCCCCATGTCTATAAGCAGAAAATGATAGTTGCATATTCAAAAAATAAGAACTTAAATGATAATATTGTTCATAGTAAACTAAAAACAATCAGTACATAACAGATACTATACTTCTCGCCCATCGGGCGAGTTATTTTTTCTAATTTCAGATCAGAATAAGAACAGAAGAAAACCCAATATCAAGACCCTTAATCCTAATTTCTAAATAAAGTGTCTGCTCCACCCTAGGCCTGTACATTTGGGAGAATCAAACCCTCCCTTCCCCGAAATCTAATACTGTCCGTGCCAGGCCAGATCAGACAATTTATTTTGACTTTGGTATATTTTATTTCATCTTATATATATTTTATTTTTTTTTGTATATATTGTATATGTTAGGATTTTGACATTTGTTTCTCGTGCATATAACAAACTTTCTTCAAAAAAATTTGCATTAATCTTTTAATCTAACCAAGTAAATTCAATTGCCATTATTTATGTTTTTCTTCCATGTAAATTATACTCCGAAATAATCCATCCATTTAAATTACTACTCGGGTATAATCAAAATTCAACGTTAGTTCTAATCAATTTACAATTCACTAATCCCGCTTATTTTATCAAATATTTCTCATGTTTATATATTTTATATTTTTGTATTCTTGATTTCTGATTATTTATGCTTTTCATTTATGTAAATTGTACTCTGAGATAATCTAATCCTCCTGAATTATTACTCAGATATAATCAAAATCTAATCCAATATTTCTATAATCCTCAATTGATCAAAGATATGACTCAACTAATTAAGAAATCAAAAATAATCCTAATCCTCAACTGATCAAAGATATGACATGATTCACTCAATAATTTTTAGAAAATCAAAAACCTGTATTAACTGACTACTATATAAATCGCAAATTAAATCTCATTTCATAACCATTCCTCGACACTTGAAAAAGGATAATATTTCGAAAACCGGTTCGTGTCAATTGCGTAAGTTTTTGTTTTACTTGTTATAATTTTTCACATCATTGTTAGCGTTATTTATCACCTAAATATATATTTTTTTGCATTTTTCATCTTGCTTTATATATCCCCAAACCCAGTTTGACTTATTTGCATAATTTGATCCCAACATTTTCACGCTAGCATATACAGTTTCCTCCTGTTACATCCGTTGTACATTCCCTTCTAACCCCAAGTTATTTTCATTATGCTCCCCAACTACAACAACCACTGGCAAGAAGCCAGAAATAGAAACACTAATCGTCAACCAAACCAATATCACGTACCTTACAACGGCCCTGTCTTCCATCGACCTCTACCACCTACCAATCGCCGACCACCAACCAACCCATCCAGCTATATCCCACCCCATCGCCGACCTACCTACAACACAGCCTACCAATCAAGAGGTAACCATCGACCTGACCAACAACAGAAACGACTACCAGCCCACCGACGCCAACCAGTCCCCACTCATAAGGAGGAAGAACCCTTTGTGAAGGTGTTCTTCCAAGTTTTGCAGTGCCTCCATCATTTGGCAATCCTTACCCTTCATCAGCAAGGCCAACCAGCATTTACCTTCAAACGCAAAGTCTCTGAGTTGGATGGTTTTATCCGTCCAGCAATGAAAACATCAGCTGTCGACGCGAATATTAGATCCCTCAATCGGACATGGCTCTGTAAGGTTACGCAGGTCCTGATCGACCATTACCAAACCACACTTCAAGAGAAGCTGACCACCATTCGTACCAAGTCTTTATCATCACCTGCCGTCGACCGCATCGTTTCTCATGCCCTGTCCTGGGCCCGTCGCTCCTATGGGAAACGTCTCACTCAAGCTGTAATTTCCAAATTCTACCAAACAATCAACGAAACAAAAACCAGAGTAACCATATCTCTACCAACTGAAATGGACACTACACCTGCACCATCTAGAGCTACCACGCTGCCGAACCAAACCCCTAAACGAGCCCGAAGTTCACCTACCCCTAGTCCAGCAGACATAGGTAAACGCTCTCGTAGAGAGGGCACACCCCTTCTCTTTTCACTTTCAGACTCGTCTTCCCCTTCCACACCATCTGAATCTTCACCACGTGATCCAGGATCCGCCAACCTTTCTTCCTTCTGTG